TCTCTAACTTTAATTCCCTCTATCTCATCTATATTATGTATTCTATTCAACAACAGTTCTAGAGCTAATATAAATAATAATGGCGATAAAGGGCATCCCTGCCTCGTACCTTTTTCAATTTTGAAAGTTTCTGTTAAACTGCCATTAACAATTATCTGAGCTGTCTGTTCTTGATATATTGCTTTTATAGATTGCATAAAGCAACTCTCAAATTGCATCCTGTGAACTACTCTCAATAAAAATTGCCAATCCAATTGATCAAAAGCTTTTTCTGCATCTAAAAATATAAGCACCGCAGGGATTTGGTTGTTCCTTTCCAAATATTCCAATATATCAACAATTTGTCTTACGTTATTTTTCATTTGCCTCCCTTGTATAAAACCAGACTGATCAGCATGAATCATTTTTTGCATTACTGACATTAACCTATTTGCCAATATCTTAGCAAATATCTTATAATCTGTATTCAATAATGATATAGGTCTATAATTCTTTGGGTGTGTCAAATCTTGATCTTCTTTTGGAATCAATGAAATAAAGGCTGTTTTCCATGAAGGTGGTACCCCTTCTCCCAACTGTATTCTGTTAAATAATTCTTTAAGAGGTACAACCATTTCCAGTTGTAGATATTTATAATACACACCCGTTAATCCATCCGTACCAGGAGCCTTGCCAGTTTTTAATTGTTTAATTGCTAAGAGGATCTCCTCCTCTGTTATTAATTGGCTCAACCGTTCTCTTTGTTCCTCTGTGACTATAGGAATATTCTGTCTATCCAAATATCTCTATATATCTACACCTTGTATTTTATATGCAGTATACAATCTTGTGTAAAATTCTAAAAATGCCTTTTTAATCATATTTTGGTGATAAACCTCTTTACCTTTATAATCTATTTTCTCTATGGTACGAGATTTTTGTTTTTTTCTCAACATATATGCCAACCATCTACCTGGTTTATTTGCATTACAAAAGGTATTGTGTTTAGCATATTGTAAATTAGTTGCCACTTGATCTGAAAACATCATATTAAACTGCCCTTGTAATAAGGTAATCTCCTCTTTAATTTTCTTATCCCCTGGGTTATGAATTAACACCTTTTCTTTTTTCTTAATCTCTTCTTCTAATTCCCTCCTTTTTTCCGTCTGTCTACGCCTATATGCATTGCTCATATTTATCAAAACTCCTCTCATGTATGCTTTACTAGCATCCCATACCATATCCATAGATGTTCCCTTATTCATATTGAAAAGAAAAAATTCCTTCATTAATTTTTTACATTCTATTATGTTTTTCTTATATCTAAAAAGATTTTCATTTAACCGCCAAGATCTCCTAGACCTTTCCCCACACTCCAGTTCCATCCAAACTGGACTATGATCCGTTAAAATTCTGGGGGAAATGTTTGTCTTCTTTACCCTGGGAAAAAAATCATTTGTAATTAATATAAAATCAATTCTCGAAAAAGATTGATGTCTATCTGAAAAAAATGTAAAATCTTGTTCTTTGTGATTCCGTTCACGCCAAATATCTCTTAATTCCATATCCTCCATCATATCGAAAAAAGATTTAGGCAGTCTCACTCGCAATTTAGTAGATTGTAAAAGTCTTTTCTTATCAATATTGGGGTCTATTACTCCATTCCAATCCCCTTTCAGCATGCATGAATTATAGTCCCAGTGTAATAATTTTGTATGTATCAACTTATAAAACTTTTCTTGTTGTTGGTTGGGTGCATATATCCCCATTAAAAGTGTCTTCTTCCCTTCTATTAGTAACTCAATTGCCAAATATCTTCCTTGTTGATCTGCTTCAACTAATTTAGCCATCAAGTCTCTTTTCAGATAGATCACTATTCCATTCTTTTTTTCCGTGGCAGACGCAACAAAATGTGTTCCTAATTTTGCATTTATTAAATATTTTTGATCAGTTATCCTTATATGTGTTTCCTGCAGGCATATTATATCATTTTTAAATTGTCTCAGATGGTGAAATATTTTCTTCCTTTTTTGTGGTGAGTTTAAACCATTGACATTCCAGGTTAAAAACCTAGAAACCATCTTCAGAATCTCAAAGCTTGGCATGAGCCGCTTGGTAATCCTCTTGGAATTTCTTTTTTGGTCTTGCCCCTCCCACAGCTTCTGTACCGGTATTCACATTTTCTTGTAATAAAGCCTGCACTTGTAACATTTTTAATTCTTGTTCTTTAGGTTTAGTAACTGCTCTGGTTTGTCTTTGATCTTTAACTTCTTCTTGTTTTTCAACTATATCCCATGCTTGGACAGCACTTGAAAGTTGCAGTGATTCATCCTGCATACTCATAACTCCACCTTCTGCTTGCTTCTGCAGATCCTCTTTTTTCCCCTCTGTTACATCTCTTATTTTTTTTAACTCCTACAGATGGTGGGTATCCAGCCTTTAGTATGTTAGTGTAGAAATCTCTTGCTTTCCAAATTGTATTAAGGCGATATCGCTCTCCTGCATAGTTCACCACTAATCCGACTGGAACTTCCCATCTGTATTATATCTGTTGATTTCTAAGTTCATCTGCCAGACATGCAAACTCTTTCTTGGATTTCAACATTTTAGGTGGTATTTCTTTGAATACTGCCACTTCTTGTCCTGCCACTTGCAACTTGTTTTTGTAGGAGGCTTGTAAGATGTCATTTCTAATCCTTATGGTAACAAAGTAGATTACAACATCTCTTGGTAATTTCCTTTGTCTGGCTATCCATGAGTTAACGTGATAGGCCCGATCAATTTGCCATTCAAGTTCTCCTCTGGACTCTCCTGTAAACTGTGCCAGAGCTTCCACAAAGATCTCTTTCAAGTTCTCTTTAGGATCTTCTTTCAAGCCTCTTATTCTTACAGCAAATTCCATCATCTTATATTGTGTCAACATCACTTCAGCTTCTGTTTTATCAATCTTGATTTGTGTTTCCTCAAATTTACCATCCAGAATCTCATTTGCTTGAGTAATCTCTTCAACTCTATCCTCTACATAATTAACATGCTTTGCCAGTCCCTGGAGTGCAACAACTATGTCTTCCCTTATATGTTTATTTCTTGTCTTAATTATGTCCTTCATTTCTTCCATTTGATCTGAGATTTAAATGCACATGCAATATCTTCTTTAAATCCTTTTTTAATTTCTTTCATGGCTTCCTGAAACATCTCGAGTGTTAATGTTTGTGCTTGTGGTTGTGGTTGTGATTGAACTTGTGTATCTGCTGGGGGCAATAAAGCTTGCAGCTTGGTAGTCTGGGCGGGGGAACTTCCCGCACTCCCTGCTTTAGGCAACCCAGATTTTATCTGCTTTTAAAATCACACAGTCTCAGAATCAATTCATAAAGCCAGTGAAGAAAATCCAGAAAATCTTTAAATTTTTAATCCCAAAGTCTAAAATACAGAATTAAGTCCAAAAATTTTTGAGCAGGGCTGGTAGCTGAAAGGCGCTAATGAATTAATGAGTCAGTAAAAACTTTCTTCTTAACTTTCACTTTCGTCTCTTTGTGTTAACAAGCCAGCACCATCTTCCCCCCCTTTCCGCTTCAGCTCTGCTCTTGTAGATTCAGAAAGAAGCAATGTTCAATGGAATTGAGGTATAAATGCTTGCAATTATGTAGCCTCCTGCTCTAGGAAGTATCCAGTTTCAATGCATTTCAATTTGTTGATATCTAACAATATATAGTCTGATCTTCCATTGTGTTGAGCTTTCTTGTGTTCTTGCTTTTTACTTTTCATGTTTTAATTATGATATTGTTTTTTCAACTTCGGATGTTCTTTTCCTACATGGCAATATCAGCAACTAGACACCTAAAATTGAGCTATGTCAAAAATACGATTAGTGCTCTGAAAGATTCTTAGCTGTTCCTCAGTAACATGTTGAATAGTGACCAACTGAAAGGCCCATTGACAATATATTTCCATTCATGTAGTTTTCTTGGTGAAATACAGGAGTATTGTACATTGTCTCTCCTGCCTAATAGAAAGGACCATTGACCTCCAGAATTTTCTTATATTGCTGTTGCTTCAAATGTTTAGCTTGCTTAGTTATTTTAGCTGGTGCCTGGGATCACATTCATTCTCATAATCTGGGCATGCATTTCTGGCATTTTTTGCTGATCCCTCCCAAGGACAACACTTTTCCTCCCCCCAGGAAGAGTGGAATGGAATATTGTTCCATTAGCAAAGTTGTTTTAAAAAATGTAAAGGGCAGTAAAAAGCAGTGATTAGTTTCCTCCCATAGGCCACTGTAGCCAATAGGAGTGGAAGGAAAAGGGTTATAGGGAATTGAAACACAGCATACTAATTAGAAGCCAAAGTTTGATCTGTCACATGCCAAAAAGTTGTTCTAATATGGAGCCAGGAGAGATTATGTTACTAGCCAATTGAGGGCGAGTTGACAATTGACATCATGTGTTCTGGGCCTCAAGAAATTATGAGTGACTTGCATTGAAGTAGAGTGGAAGTGTAAATGTGCCCTAACTTACAAAGATATTGTGGTAGAATAGTGGTAGTTTTGCAACACTATGATAAAGTATTTATTGTTTGTGCTGGTTATGTACTTATGCACAAAGTATAGACATACTTTCAATGTCTGCCTCAGTAATTATCCAATAGAAGATAACTGGATGAACATGGGTTATAAATTAAATAAATAAATAGTTTTTGTGTTTATGTAAGCAACGTGACACTTCAAAAAACGCCAGTAAGTTACACGTACCCATTATGCATTTAGGTGCCCAGGAAAAGGAAGAATAAGTCAGAGTCATTGGGTAAGAAAATAGAAAATACAGCTAAAATCTTAGATCTAAATACACGCGAAAACAATTCATGCACTTCCTCAGTTCTCTACTCGCAACAGATAGAGGTGCGCGCGCATCTCCGTATACGCGCACGACAGAATGTCTGCAGAGAAGCTTGCTCTGCTGAGAGAACCAATAACACCTTTCTTTCTCACCACAGAGGCGGGGCGAGTGAAAGTCCCGCCCCTCCAAGCAGGCGCAGATCGTCTGGAGTGATTCCGCCCGTTGGTGGTTATCATGGTCTGTTGTGGAGCCGTGGCGTAGCCTTCCCTCCCCCTGGCGGCCGTTGAGAAGACAGGCTGAGGGTAAGTGAGTGGATGAGGGCTTATGTAGGGAAAGGAGCTCGTTCTTCCTCTCGATGAAAGAGTCCGGAGACTTCTTCCCCATTCCCTAAAAGAGGGAAGAATGAGTGGGGGGACCGGTCAGGAAAAAGTACGTTTCAGGAAGGGACCCAAAGGAGCGGGTGCTTGCGATACCGCTGCTATCATATTACTCGCTTCACCCTCGATTGCTTCTGTGATCTCATACATTTTAAACTTAGATTTTTCCGAAACTTAGTATCCCCATCCTTGTTGCTTGGAGCTTGACCTTTCTTTCTCTTGCTGGGTGTTTTTCCGTTGGCACTCCCTGTTCGGGACAAGAGGCGCAGCCGGATGTGGGCGGGTAAATTTGCAGAAGGCGGACACTCTTTACTGCACCTTTGGAAGAAAAGGAGCGCCTCATTTCTCCAATCATTTTCCCTTCCAGAGCTCTGGTTCTGCCGTTAAGAGAAGATTGGGGGAGGGGGGGAGAGTCTGGGAGGAAGGATAGGGATCGAGTGCAGGCCTCGATATGTCTAGCCTAACTTCTCGCACGTGGTATGGGTATAGAATGACAGCCTTAAATAGGAATCTTCGCTAGGGTGTAAATCTTAAAAGAATTCCTAATAGAAGCCAACACCGCAAAATAAAATCATGGAGGAAGAGGGCAAAATAAACTTAAAAGAACAAGTTAAACGTTGATAACGTGACAGATTCCTGATTGAACGATACACTATTTGGGGTATGCAAGGCATCCTTGGGGTAATGCCGGGAGGAAGGGGCAAGTGGAAACGTTCGCCTAATAACATCTTGTAGTGATGCAACTTGTGTATTTGCATCAAACATGTCGCCAGAATGTAATTATTGCATTTTCATGGTGATAACGTCACCCTGCATGTCTTGTCTTTTGATGTTTGCTACTGTTGTCACTTTTCCAGGGCGTTGCTCTTGAGGTGTGTTACTTTGTACATTTACCTTCAATATTAAAATTATTGCTAATACAATTTTAAAAGTTTTCAGGTTCAGGGAACTTTCAGATTTAGTCTGCTGGAAAGTTGTTGGGAAATTATGATGAACTCAAGTTTCTTGCTTCATCATACTATGTACTCTGATAGTAAAACACAATGTTTCATTTTTCTTCCTTTGGAGTGTCTGCTTTCAGGGTGAAAATTTAGGTACTCCTTGATACATCACAGAATAATTCTAAAAATATTTTATAAATTTTATTATGGATTGCATAAATGAAACACATTTCTCCTTCCATCCATTTTTAGAAGGTATAATTAGAAGACTTAAAAATTTTAAATTGAAAACGTCAATCAGTCTTTATGTTCATCCTTGACCAACATAAGAATCGCAAAATAGTTTATGAAATATTTCAAATAGATACTAGATTCAAAAATAACTATAATATTACTATAAAATATCACAACACTAAATAAAGTGTATGGATGTAGTCCAAAATCAATTTAACACAATAAACATTAAAATTAACCTAAAACAGTAGCTAAATTAAATTAGTAATTATATATAATTTTAAAATAGTATTTAACTTTTCCAAACTATTATACAAATTTATTTCTTCAAATTTATTAGAAGAATCATTGAATTGAATTAACAAAAGGCTAAAAATCAAAAATAAAGATTTATGTTGTAATTAATGCTAACTGTATTAGATCCTGTCAAATGTTATATGCCACCCCCAAATTGCATCCCTAAAGGGGACAGGTGGCTAAGCAAGGGGCAGGAGCCCTGCCATGCCCAGTGGGGGTGGGTGGGAAGAAGAGATGGAAAGGGGATCCATGTCTCGCTCCACGTGTCTTGCTTCTCCCCTGCCCCACCTGCCACTCCTTTCGATAAAGAGACGGCGGGGAAGGAAAGCAGCCAGGCTGCTGTTGTCATTGGGGTGGGGTGGGACATGCTGGGCTGCGAGACGTGTTTTACCTTTCAAGCTCTGTCACTTTCCTTGGCTTTATATCTAGGGAAACACACCGTAAAAGAAAATTTTATCGCGAGTTCGAGAAGTTTGATTGAACTTGTGAGAAGGTTTTCTTTTACAGTGTGTTTTTCTGGACATGGTATATATATATATACATATATACATATACGTACACAGACACATACACATACACATATATGCCTTTTTAGGACTCTGCCCTGCTCAAAATGAAAATCTGATTCTTTAACACTGGCCCATTGTCTTGAGAGAAGCATAGAAGCTGGAAGGCCAAAATAATCAAACAGTTTGTGGTGGGGAGAAGCAAAACCATTACTAAGTTGCAGTGGGAGAGCTATTGTCCAAGGCAGAGGAGAAGGAGAAAGAAGAAGTGCCAAGCAAAAGGGAAAGGACTGTGTGAGAACAACCAGGATATGTGGCAATGATGACAAAGTGCAGCAATGAGTAGAGATGATAGCTGTAGGCCAAAGCTTTATGAGAGTCACAGCAGAGACAATCCCTTGCTAACACCAGCTGTTCTTTGTTGAGCTGAGTTCCTTCAGACTGATGACACATAAGACACATGAAAAATATTGTGAAAGACCAAATATATACACTATTCTGTAAATAGTGATCGGAAGCCTGATCACTAGCAGAGATAGATGCTGGCACCTAAGATGTACAAGTGCAGGACATGACCAGTGTGGAAAACAGTGAACAAAGAACAGCTCAGCAAGTAGCGGAACAGCCAAAAAAGGCACTTGAATTATCTCAGCAATGCTGCTGTTTGAAGAGGCCAGGATAGGCCAATAACATTCCACTGCAGCAGACTGGGTGCGGTGAGGCAGGATCTGACTGAACAGCACTAGAATATAGAACCCAAGATAAAAGGATATCAGAATGGCTCAGTGGCTAAGACTCTGAGATTGTCAATCAGAAGGTCAGCAGTTCAGCAGTTCGAACCCCTAGCGCCGCATAATGGAGTGAGCTCCTGTTACTTGTCCCAGCTCCTAGTAGTTCGAAAGCACGTAAAAAATGCAAGTAGAAAAATAGGGACCACTTTGGTGGGAAGATAACACTGCTCCATGTGCCTTTGGCGTTTAGTCATGCTGGTCACATGACCACGGAGACATCTTCGGACAGCGCTGGCTCCTCGGCTTAGAAACGGAGATGAGCACCGCCTCTAGAGCCAGAAACAACTACCTTGCATGTGCAGTGGAACCTTTACCTTTACTTTAGAAAGCTCACAACAAAGGATGATGAGAGACCCTAGGAATTGGCAGTGGTCGGAAGTAGCAAAAGTCCATAAAAGGTCCAGAGCAAGAGACCTTAGGAACTATCAATGAGTAGAAAGAACCCCAGAGCATAGTACTGCAGCCTGGCAATGAGTCCTTGCATCAGTTCTATCTTTTAGAAACTGAGTGAATTAAGAACAAAATCAGATGAGATGGCCAAATTTGCTATAGTACAAGAAATCTTAAATTAAGAAAGAGAAAAATTAAAGAAAAGGTAGAAAGTAAGTGGGAATGATATAACTTAAGCAACAAAAGAAATAAGATAACTATAGTAGTACAGAACTAAATTAACTAAGAAATGCTAAGGCAAGAGAGCTACAGAAAGATAAAGCACTTTAAAGCAATGTAGAGATAATCTTGGGAAAGGAATGGCTGAATGGTTAAAGAGAAACAATAACTCAGTCCAGAGAAAATGGAGAGCATGAGAAAGAAATTCAAAACAATCACATCTTGTTGGGCAGAGTGAAACTCTTGGCAAGTTTTCCAGTAAAACAGTAATTCTGAAATTCTTATGTTTTGTTTCCTGACATGGCCTGTCTTAAAATGCTGATCTCAGTCTGAGTGAAATTTATTAACATTCTCCTAGGTTTGTGGGAAAATAGATGTTAGCCAGTCTCTAAATGCTGATAATAGAAAATACAACCTATTGAAATATTAGCTGGCTGAAAATTTAATGGAAAAACATAGAATATATCTTTCTATATCATAGTTCTATCTTTGTAGGATTAGAATAATTTGATAACTAAACTGAAAATCCTACAGTTCCATTATTATTATCTGAACAAGGTCATATTGCATGTTATAAATACCTCACTAATGATAAATATGTAGTGGTTTGATTTGTATGGCTAGAACCTTATGTAATATAATAAGTCTTCAAACTCAATTACCGTATTTTCCGGCGTATAAGATGACTTTTTAACACTTGAAAATCTTCTCAAAAGTCGGGGGTCGTCTTATACGCCGGGTGTCGTTCTCCTGTAACCAGGCAGACCAGCCCGAAAGGCTCTAACGAGCCTTAAATGGCTCTGGCGATCCCAGCTCTGATGATCCCAGCTGAGTTCCCTGCAACTCAGCTGGGATCGCCAGAAACCATGTAAAAGGAAAAAAGTTTTTTCCCTTTTACTCTGAGGATCCCAGCTCTGACGATCCCAGCTGAGTTCCCTCCAACTCAGCTGGGATCGCCAGAACCATGGCTCTGACGGTCCCAGCTCTGACGGTCGATCCCACCCCAGCTGAGTTCCCTGCAACTCAGCTGGGATGGCCAGAGCCATGTAAAAGGGAAAAAGTTTTCCCCCTCCAGCTTGCTTACCTCAGCTGCTAGTCGCAACGCTTGCCTTGCTTTGCTTGCCTGAATCTATTCAGGCAAGCAAGCAACTCCCTGCCTGCAATCAAGCAAGGAGGGAGTTGAAGTCTACAAGTCTTAAAGTTGCCAAGGTTGGAGACCCCTGTTCTATTGGGTAAGTTTTTTTCCCCTTTGGGAGCTTTAAAAAAAATAGTCAATTGGGGTTTTTTTAGTTGTTCTTTTTTAGACCATTTAAAGTTTAGGAAGTTTTAAATTTAGCTTTCATATAAAAATAAAAATAAAATAAAATAAAATAATATTTGTGCAGCTTTCTGAGATTTAGTGTGTTTCTGTAGTGTTTCACTCCAACTACACAAACACACAAAATCTCACAAAGCTATATGTGGAATTTGGTGTGTGTAAAGTGTGAAAGTTGGTTTTTTGGACTTTTTGTGGCTGTGTGAGGTTCCTGCTTGTTGCAGGGGCCATTTTGGGTCTAGCACAGCTGCTTTTACATTGTGGGTGAGCCAGTTGTGTTGTGTTGTGTGTGTTTAGAGTGTGAAAGTTTTTTTGGGGGGGCTTTTTGTGGCTGTGTGAGGTTCCTGCTTGTTACAGGGGCCATTTTGGGTCTAGCACAGCTCTTTTACATTGTAGGTGAGCCAGTTGATGTTTTTTAATTTTTATTTGGTGTGCATTGGAAGAGGGGCAGTCTTATATGGCGAGTATAGCCCAAACCCTATATTTTAACAGGAAAAGTTGGGGGTCGTTTTATACGCCCAGTCGTCTTATACGCCGGAAAATACGGTAAATTAAATAGTTTTAAAATTATACAAAAAATATGAGATTTAAAAAAACAACAACTAGAAACTAAAACATTGGGATAAACATCTGTTTTAACATATTTACCATATTTGATACAAGGATTAATATACATTACATTTCTCCAATTAGGTGCCTTGCAAATACTTTTGATTTCAATGTAATTTGCAGATATTTTGTGTAAAAATCTCAAAACTTTAGATTCTAGAGTTCAGAGAATACCAAAATGAAGAAGGAAATAGAGTTCTTTGAAAAACATAAACAACAGAACTTGACTGAAAATATGTAGATAAATTGGAAATGTCTTTTTCAGCAAAATTTTGCTATTGCTGTAGCAAAAAAAAGAATGAAAGCAGGCAAAAAGTAGTTTTGTAACAATGCTGCCTTGAATAACTTTCACAACCACAAAACTTTTTATTATTTTCTACTTATTTGAAAAGTTGGTTGTCTAAAAAGATGAAGATCAGCTGGTCTGCATATGATACATTTGAGGCTAATTTCAAACCTTTGGTGGTGGTTGAGCTTGCACAAAATACCAAAGATGAAACCAAAGAATGGCTGATGCAAAAGATTGTAGGGAAGAAGAAGAATGGAGGTGAGTGCCCTTAGTGTTATAAGTCAATTTATACGAACCAGTGATATTTCTTGTGAACATTGATTTATAATTCACAATAGAAAAGAATGTGCATATGTAGGCAAAGAGAAGATTTTTCAGGCTACTTTTAAACATTTTTCTTTTGCAAAGACACTATGTGTTCTATTTTGGAAATGTGAATGAGAGAGGAATAAAAATAATTTTGGACCTAACAAGAGAAACAGTCCAAATGTTGTATTTTGCTACAAATATAGGATATGTGCTGAGATATGTGTTTAAGTTATTCAGTTTGTCTGTTTTTCCGCAATACAAGAATTTATGCAGGCAAGGAATATGTTTCCACTCCTGAGAAAGTTAACTTCATATTTAGGAATTTACTTAGAGTAGAAGCTCTCAGATTACTCAAGAAGCAATTGATGGAAACTAATCAAGCAGAGAAACAACCTAGAACCGAGGAGAAATTTTCTGATAGTTAGAACACTTACGGTAATATGTAGAACAACTTGCTTCCATAGGTTGTGAATGCTCCAACTGAAAGTTTTTAAGAAGAGATTGGACAACCATTTGTCTGAAATAGTATACTTTTTCCTGCCTGAGCAGGAAAGACTAGAAGACCTACAAGGTCCCTTCCAACTCTATTGTCTGTATTTAGATATGGCTTGATAACTTGCTTTATTGCAGATGAATGCACATAGACACACACACACACACTGTCAGACACATACAGATACAGTCTGATTACTACAGATTCCAGAAATCAAATCCTGTATGTATCTGTATGTACCTGCTTCAGAGATTAATTTTTAAACTTTTTTTTTAAAAAAAAATAGAAAGGAATTCCATCTTTTAGAATTAACAGAAATGCTTTTTTTTCCTGGACTGGAGTTTAGAGATATTTATTAAATAATGCTTCCATCTAGCCTGAGGTTTCCATCTTGCCAGCTCTAGACCTTTTACTTAGGTAAATTACATTTTAGAAAACCTTTTAAAAGCAATGTCTAATTTTGAATGGTTGCTGAATAAAGAGTCATAAGTCAAGGGCTACCTTCATAGAATCTATGTTGGGAATTCTTAAAGGGGGAATGTTTTGCAAATAAATGAAAATAGGGAAGAAAGGACTATCTTACCCATTTGCCTAGAACTCACATTTTCCTGGTTTTTTTAATACAGTTGCAGCAACCACATAAGTAAAGGAGTTCTGTTATGCTGTATAAGTACTCTTTTATTGTGAACAATAAAGGATATTGTTACACATGTAATTTAAATCTCGTTTGTATTCCTAGATAACCATTAGTTAAAATTTTAGTCCCAATTATTTAAATGGAAAAAATTTAAGCATATGTTACCTCCATGGAAATTACTGTTTACTTTTTTAATTTAATATAACTTGACAATGTAATGTAGCATTTATTGATATTTTAGAGAAATGAATTATATTTTCTTTTCTTTTTAATCCAAAAGTTTGAGAAAAGAATTATATGGATAGAAAATAATAATATTAATTGATTATGTGCCATTAAATTGGGGTTGACTCTTAGTAACCACATAGTTAGATTTTCTCCATGACAATCTGTCCCTAACTTGATCTTTCAGGTCCTTCAGTCGTGTACTCAGTGCCACTGTAGTGAATCATTTTATTAAATATATTAAATATAACTTATTAAACTATATTGGTATACAACATTAAAATAGTAGATTTTTCAAGATTAATTATAAATATTTTGGTTTATTTCTTTAAAATGTTTTAAATATATGTTACAAATAGAGCTATGAACAGTTTTGTGTATCCAGAACAGCTTTGTTTTGAATGTAAAACAGTTTCAGAATATTTGAAGCTACCGTATTTTCCGGCGTATAAGACGACTTTTTAACACTTGAAAATCTTCTCAAAAGTCGGGGGTCGTCTTATACGCCGGGTGTCGTTCTCCTGTAACCAGGCAAACCAGCCCGAAAGGCTCTAACGAGCCTTAAATGGCTCTGGCGATCCCAGCTCTGACGATCCCAGCTGAGTTCCCTGCAACTCAGCTGGGATCGCCAGAAACCACGTAAAAGGAAAAAAGTTTTTTCCCTTTTACTCTGAGGATCCCAGCTCTGACGATCCCAGCTGAGTTCCCTGCAACTCAGCTGGGATGGCCAGAGCCATGTAAAAGGGAAAAAGTTTTCCCCCTCCAGCTTGCTTACCTCAGCTGCTAGTCGCAACGCTTGCCTTGCTTTGCTTGCCTGAATCTATTCAGGCAAGCAAGCAACTCCCTGCCTGCAATCAAGCAAGGAGGGAGTTGTGGACTTCAACTCCCAGAATTCCTCAGCCAGCAAAGCAAAGCTGGCTGAGGAATTCTGGGAGTTGAAGTCTACAAGTCTTAAAGTTGCCAAGGTTGGAGACCCCTGTTCTATTGGGTAAGTTTTTTTCCCCTTTGGGAGCTTTAAAAAAAATAGTCAATTGGGGTTTTTTTAGTTGTTCTTTTTTAGACCTAGCCATTTAAAGTTTAGGAAGTTTTAAATTTAGCTTTCATATAAAAATAAAAATAAAATAAAATAAAATAATATTTGTGCAGCTTTCTGAGATTTAGTGTGTTTCTGTAGTGTTTCACTCCAACTACACAAACACACAAAATCTCACAAAGCTGTATGTGGAATTTGGTGTGTGTAAAGTGCGAAAGTTGGTTTTTTGGACTTTTTGTGGCTGTGTGAGGTTCCTGCTTGTTGCAGGGGCCATTTTGGGTCTAGCACAGCTGCTTTTACATTGTGGGTGAGCCAGTTGTGTTGTGTTGTGTGTGTTTAGAGTGTGAAAGTTTTTTTGGGGGGGGCTTTTTGTGGCTGTATGAGGTTCCTGCTTGTTACAGGGGCCATTTTGGGTCTAGCACAGCTGCTTTTACATTGTAGGTGAGCCAGTTGATGTTTTTTAATTTTTATTTGGTGTGCATTGGAAGAGGGGCAGTCTTATATGGCGAGTATAGCCCAAACCCTATATTTTAACAGGAAAAGTTGGGGGTCGTTTTATACGCCCAGTCGTCTTATACGCCGGAAAATACGGTAACTATTTTAAGGATTTTTGTGTTTGAAACAATTTACATCAAAATGTTTTGCATAAAAGGTTTTGATAGTCAAGATCCTGCTTTTTATTTATTTGTTTTGATTTTATTTAGCTTTCATGTGAGTATTAAAATAGACTAATTTATTAATGCTTTATGTATAATTTAATTGAAAATATTAGGAAATATTCTAATCTAATCAGTTTCCATTGATGTTTCTTTTTTCTTCCCCTTTGGGTCTACTCATTTCTAACCTTCCCTAATTCAGCACTGCCTTTAATCCAAGAATTTCATGACACAAGTGACCCAATAAATGAAATCACTGTAATTGGTTTAATTTTATCCAAACAAGTTTTGTGAATATGGCTGTCATTCCCATGTTTATGATTTAGCATAACCTGTGAACATAATACACACAGTACAGAATAATTTACTTCATTTGTTTTCCTTTTTTGAAGGAGCCCAACTTTTAGTTAAACCATTGGTGGAGGAAGGAAAAGAGATTGAAGGAAGCAAGAACATATATCTTGTTGGAGCATCTAATTTAAGGCTGCTTCTAGGAGCTGAAACTGTAGGGTTGGTTAAAGAATGTAATGATAATACAATGAGAGCGTTTACATATACATCTAGAAAAAATTTTAAAGATTTTGCAGGTAAAAAACCAGTTAATTGTGAAATCATTTTACGTTCCTTGCTATTTAGGAATCACACTGTTAACCATTTCAGGAGATATTGTGAAATAAATAAGCATAGTATTATTAGATAAAGTTTGCTTAAAATTCCAGCATTCTATTAATTTCTGATCTTTGAACTTAGAATGTAAAATTGTTTGAATATTTTGCTTAGACTTAAGTTTTCTGTTATTATAAAAGTTATTCAGCATTCATATTAAATATTATTTAAACATTGTAATCTGTACTTTTAATAAATATACAGTATCTCCCTTAATAATTAACAGTTTTACGAAAGACTCTTCTCATGGGATATTGGAAAGCTTATTTCTGAATAAATATTACATATAGGATTTTAGAATCCCCATGCAATTACTTTTGCTTGGAACTTGTCAAAATAAAAATCTAGTTTTCAACAATGCATTTCTTTTTTCTTTAGAGGATAATCATGATTTTCTTACAATGGCAGAATGCCAATACATTATCAAACATGAACTTGAAAATTTAAGGGCTAAAAATGAAAAGATGATCCCTGGCTATCCTCAGGCAAAGCTTTATCCAGGAAAGTCAATTAGTGAGTAATTTGTTAATTTTGCATTGCATATGTAATTTAAAAATTAGAATATAAAAATCTTTGGTTCTTCATTTAAGAGCATTATATAATGTTGCTATGGTAAATACTGTCTGCACAACTCCCATAGTTTCAATTATTTATTTATTGATCATCGCATAATTAGCCAGATGTTCAGACTGGGTTTGGCATTTTTATCTACCTATCAAGTCCTTACCAGGGACCTGGGATAGGCAGATGTGGATGTTTGATGTTGCTAGAGATATGGTTGCAGGATGGAAGCTGTTCCCAGTTAAACTGGCTTTTGCAATTGATTGATGAAGAATTTGTCAATACCAATGATGTTTAAGTGGTGCTCCAGTTGTTTTGGGATTGCACCCAAGGTCCCTATTACTGGTGGTACTACCTTTGCTTGCTTTTGCCACAGTAGTTCTATTTCTGTTTGTAGGTCTTTGTAATTTGTTTTCTTCTCCAGTTCTTTCTCTCCCAATCTGCTGTCTTCAGGCATTGCCACATCCACTATCCAGACTTTTTTGTCTTTCTTATCGACAATTGTTAAGGCTGGGGTGTTATGTGGCAGGTGCCTATCTGTTTGAATTCTGAAATCCCAGAGCAATTTAACTTATTTATTTTCTATGTCTGTGAGAACCAGCTCCCCCCCCCCACTTCCAAGAAGGTACCAACTCTTGAGAACTTTGTGTTTCAAAATGAACTGTTTATTGAAAGGGATGAAAGCAAGTCAAAACTCAAAACAGGCTCTGGGATCCCTCAGGGCATGCAATTCAGGATAAAGGCAATTAGGAACCCCCTCCCCACCTTCCAATGTGGATTCCGACCAATCCGCCCATGTGAATGTGAATTGCACCAGCCTCTCTGAGAAACAGATACAAATAACTTCTCAGGGTCATTTTACAATCCACTTGTTCCCCCACTTTCTTTTTCATTTCCCGAGGTGTGAGAATTTTCTAGGCATTCCTGGCACCAGGCAATGGTTATAAATCAGGGTAAAGTTTATACGAAGAGGATCAGGCAAGAAATTGGATACTTAGGACACATAGGAAAAGAACTAGATGTGACAACTCCAAATCTCCCCCCACCTTCTTCCATGAAGAATGGCAGATACATGGATCTGACATATTGCCTTTCTCAGAAAAATGGAAAATCCACCTAGAAAGACATAAAATATATAATCTATTAAGATTTAGGATAGTTAGACGATTCAACCGGAAGCGTCATGGCAAGATAGTTGGGGAATAGCGGGCTCTGACGAGCCTTGCGAAATCCCGGGTTGACGAACTGCTGTCGAGGGGTCTTCGGACCAGATCTGTCCTGTAGGGACAGAGAAGAAAGAGAAGCACCTCAGACAACCATGAGGAACAGGCAAGTTCCTTGGAGGTTGGAGGAAACTTTTCAACTCGGCGGGGGCCATTGCAGCTGCCATAAAGCTGGGGCAACCTGACCAAGTTCTGAGCAGGAGCAGTGATTTGGATGGAGTACTGATGCCTGGTGAGAGATTGCCAGCTCACAGGTTAAAAAGAAATATTTTTAAATTGTTAAAAGGTGTGCCAGTGAAGAAACAGCAGCTAATGGGCATGGGGGAATGTGAATGGAAAGAGAGCAACAAAGCAGAAGTTTAAAGTGTCAAAGCCCGAAACAAAACTTGACTTTTGGACTAAAATGTGGAGATAATTAAAATATTAGAAGAAAAAACCCATAGTAGATGTGAAGAGGATTGGAAAGAACTTTTTAAAAAATTTTGACCATTAAAAGAAGAATAAAGGAAAACTTTAAACTAAATTCCTGTAACAGAAGGTTCATTTTTTTAATTGGATTTGGAACTGGATTTTAAATTGGATTTTGGGAAACAAAAAATTAAGAAGAAAAAGATAGAAATTGGCAACGTGGATTTAATAAATAAAATGGACCCTTTTTAAATTTGTTGATTGTAATTGTGGATTGGAGAGAGACATCTACAGGCAGAAAAAAACATTACAACGCTTAACTTGTATTTTGGGAAAAAATGTTTTAAAGTGATAAGAGCGGTGGGAACTTTTGGGGAGGATTTGTTTGCATGCAAACCGTTTGACCTCGATAACGAAAGAAGGTGGATTATAATAAAACTTAAAATTGGAATAACAAAAACTCAGAAACAACAAGATGGTGCAGGAACTAATTGAAATGATTAAAAGGATGCGTATATCACTCAAAGTGGAATTAAATGAAATGATTATAATGATGCATGGAAAACCAAAACCTGACGAACTAGAAATTGCATTAGAACATACATACCCAAGTGGAGAAAGAAACTATGAATGAGAAGCAAGAAGGTGACACTGAAGAGAAAGACAAAGACATTGACTATGAAAAATCAAATGATTATGTGGGGAGTAACAAGGAAAAAAAGAGGAGAACTGGGAGAAAAGGATAAGATTAGGAACAAAGGTGAATTTTGATAAGATTACATTGGGATTAACAATGATAAAAATAGAGAGGGTGGAAAGAGAGAGGGAGAGAAAGAAGGGGAGAAGAGAAAAAATATAAAAAATTCAAATGATTACAGTGGGATTAACAGTGGGAAAATAAGAAAGATGAAAGGGGAAAGGAGGAGATCAGTTGGAAATACATGGCAAATTAGGAGAGTAAAGGACTTTAAAATTAGGGGGAAAGGGAAAAGGAAAAAAATAAGAAAATGGGATGAAAGGAGAAAGGAGTAGCTGTTGGAAAGGAAAAGGGAAAAGATGTTTTAGATATTTAGAATTATAATTGAATTGAAATAAGATTTATAAGTATAGATGAATTTTAGTAAATTCAATATATGAGATTGTTATACTTGGAATGCTTTTAATTGTAATAATGGAATTTAGCTAAAGCAATTGAAATTATAGTGTATTGTGAAAAGAGATTAATGGATTATTAAATAAGAGGAGAAGGGAAAGGGAAAAGTTGAAAATTAACTTTAAATTATACATAAAGCAATGGAAAATTATCTAGAATTATAAACAAATTGAAGCAAGATTTATAAGCATAAATGAATTGTAGTAAATTCAATACATGAGATTGTAATATGTGGAATGTCTTTAATTGTAATTATGGAATTCAGCTAAAGCATTTGAAATTATATTGGAGTGTGAAAATTAAGTTTGTTTAATGTTTAATAAGAAGAGATTAAAATACTGTTGGCAATAATTGAAATTAACCTTTAAGAGGGGGAAATATTACTAATTATGATTATGGTTTACTATGAAAAAGTGTAGTTAATATTTTTTTTTTTGAAAAAGCAATGGATAAAGGAAAGAAATGGAAAAGAGGGAAGGAAATGGGTTATATATGTAAAATTGTATGAATATTAATATCTGATTGGAATAATGGAATTTAGGAAAAACATTTGAAATTGTATTATGTGGTGAAAAGGGAGATATGGAAAAATATTTCAACAGGATGATTTAGAGTTAGGGTTAGGTATCAGAAAAATGACTGATTTTAAATTAAAGGGTTTGAACTTGGAGAAAGCAACGAGAGGAGAGAAAAAAGAAAAATTGACTAAGATTAGAGATTAGGGTGAATGGTAATATTGGTTATACATCTGAAGAAACAAGGAAAATAAAATAAAAATTAGAGAGAAAGAATATTATGGCAAAAAGTGAAATATATAAATTGTGTTGGAGATAACTAAAAGCTGTACAAATTTGTGACTTGGCCAATACTCTGTTCAGAAAAAATACATTGTTTGCATATGTTTGTCAAAAAATTAAAAAACTTTTATTAAAAAAAAGATTTAGGATGGTTTGTGTGGGTATTTCAGGTGGAATTTCCTTAACAGTGTCGGGGCTTTCACATGTTTTTTGGCTACCCATTCATTCTGAGAGGATGGTAGGTGTTTCCATGCCACTAAATATTGTGTGGAGCCGTGGTGAGTGCGGGAGTCAAGGATGTCTTTGATTTCAGAATGATGTTCTCCTTCCACCATAATGGGGGTTGGAAGTGTAGGCAAAGAGGGTCTGACTTTTGAAGTGATCTGTGGCTTGAGTAGGCTGCAGTGAAACACTGGATGAACCTGCCTAAGTGTCTTAGGAAGGAGGACTTTAACCGTGACAGGGTTTATGATTCTGATGATGGGGAATGGGCCAATGAATTTAGGTCCCAGTTTCTTAGACGGTTGTAAGGATTGTAGATACTTTGTGGGTAGATATACATGGTCCCCAACCTTGAATGGTTTGGGTTCCCAGCGTTCTTGTCAGCTTGAATTTTAAAAGCTTCTCTATCCTCTTGTAGCACTAGTCTGACCACTGGCCAAGTGGTTTGTAGGTTGTTTATCCACTCCTTAAGGGAGGGGATGTCAGGTTCCTTACTGGTAGCTCTGGCATGGGGTTAAACTCTTGTCCTCAAATTGGGTGAAACCAGTGCTACTGGGTACAGAGTTGTAAGCTACTTCAGCAAAAGGTAACAGGTCAGTCCAATTGTCCTGTTTGTAGTTAATAAAACATCTTAAATATTGTTCCAATATGCCATTAGTTTTTTCAGCCCCCCCCCCCGTTCGTTTGGGGGTGGCCAGAAGATGACAACTCCTGGGCGGAGCCTAATAGATTTAAAAAAGCCTGCCAAAATTTGAAGGTGAATTGGACATCCCTGTCTGAGATAATCCGATGGGGAGCTCCATGGAGGAGGTGATAAATGTGGATTAAAAACATTTTTGCTAATGCTTTGGCTGTTGGGATCTTCTGGCAGGGTATGAAAAGGACCTGTTTTGAAAAGAGGTCCATTACAACCCAAATAACTGTGTTCCCAGTGCTTTCAGGCAGCTCCACTATACAATCCATAGAAATCTCTCTCCAAGGGGCTGAAGGATCTGCTACAGTTTGTAAGTGCCCTGGGGGACTTCCCTTGTCGTCTTTTTGCAGCTGCACAGGTGTGGCAGCTAGCCACGTAGCTCTCAATGTCTTTTTTAAGGGATGGCCACCAGAATTGCCTTTTGATTAGGTGTAGCGTTTTCACAAATCCGAAAT